CTTACGCGAAGAATTCGAGATTGTAAAAATCAATAGAAAGCTGGAAAATCGGGGTTTGTGAAAGGAGGGCGAGGAGGAGCAGTGGGGAGGGGGGGGGCGGCAGGGGGAGACAGAGAAGTAAGTCGCAGAAGAAAGCGGGCGTAAGGGAGTAGAAAGCATCTGCTGTAATCTTTCTACTCAGCTTCCTTTTAATATGGAAATCATCCCCCAATTTACATACCTCAGTCGTATTACGGAGACCGGGATGGGAGTGGAGGGAAGGAATCGCCTGGGACACGTGAAATTGACCCACGAGGGAAACTGATAAACCACCAGAAGCAAACAAGGAGAACCACCACTGCCTTGGAAAGTTTATGAGAAGGTAACATAATACACGATTCAGGAGGGATTACGAGGACATGGGAAGAAGAGCAAACAAATTAAGATGTCTTACTTATGCTTCGCCAGGGGTTTCTCTGGGGTGAGCTGAGGGCTAGATCCTGAGGTATAGAGGTTGTATCTGTTGCCGTAAGAGATAGGCAGAGGGTGGCGGTAATAGGTCCCTTTCGCCTCGGCAAGGCAAACCAGTGTCCCAGCGCAGAGCAGAGAGATCGACGCGCCAAAGACAACTTCTCTGGAGAATCCCTTCGCCCGATTCATGGTCCCCTCAGATGCGCGGCCAGCTTCTCCCCAAAGAGCTGCTGCAGGAGTTCCGTCCGCGGCTAGTTCGCTCTCTGCTTTCCAGTCTGGAGGTGCGGAAAGTCTTCCCGGAGAGAAGGTGGGCTGCAATTTGCTCTTTCCAAAGCCCTTTACGAACGTCCAATAAGGGGGGATTCTCTGACGAAAGGGAAGCTGACCAAGACGAGGGTATCTCTGCCCAGGGCCGAGGGAAGCGCGCTCTCCGCTATCGCTTGAGCTGTTCGTTCCACTTCAACGCTCTTTTGTACCTTTCCTTGCCATTCACTTTGCTCCAGGCAGCGACGGTCCCCAGTACGGCAGGGAAGAGGGGCGGGTCCCTCTTTCTGCATTAGCATAACACTCCTTCCATCTCCTCCTCCAGCCGATTGGCCTTTGAAATGCTCGCCCATCCAATCAGGGCACAATCCCCCGCAGCGCTGCATCAGACACTATCTTTCAAAACGGAGGAGAAGGAGAAGGGGAAAGAGAGGAAAGAAAAGAGGAAAGAAAGAGGGGTGGCGGGTGGGTGACTGGAAGGGAGGAGGAGAAGGAGGAAAACAAAGCCAGGGATGAGAGAACTGGACAGAGAAAAAGGCCAAGGAAAAAAAGGGGGTGGGGGGAACCGAAGTGTGTCAAATTCAAGAATGCCATCTTCCAGGAATGTTGGCAGGAGATGATGGATGCCCTGAGTCTCATCTTCATAAAGCTCAAGCTATCCACGTGCACCCAGCAGTTTATAGACACATGGAATTGCGGTAGCTGCAGCCCACAAGGATGTCCATAACTACACATTTTATTTTTAGATAATCACCCCACATTTCAGGTTTTTTGGCAAGAAAAGAAGAAGCAGCTCCAAGGCAAGAAGACAGAATGAAGTTTATGGTTAGGTTCCTTCATCCACTAGATGGATGTGTAGGATATGGCCCATCGTATGAACTTGCAGGTAGAAGGCCTGGTTCATTCAGATTGTTTGATGGATCTTAAATAGTACATTAACCAAGTGGAAAAGCTTAGTGCTAAATGAAGAACTTTGCATTCACCTTCTATATGGCAGGTTAAGATTATAAGCTCTTACTCTTGGCCCTTCGTCCCATTTGTAAAATCATAGACATGACATTTAAGGAATGATTGTAATATATCATATTTGGCATATCCAAAGGAGACTCACAGGTAAACTCAAGCAACTCCTGTGGTGTAATGCAGTAGAGAAGGTTTCCAAGCCAGAAAGTACCATTTTCAGGCAGGCAAGACCCTGAAACCTTTTATTTTGAAACGTACCTGCTTAGTCACTCCAACAAATGACACTTGTTGATCTAAAAGCAGCAAGACTGTTTACATAGCATGCTGACCTGGTCTTCCAATCTTCTCCCCCTTGATCCTTCAAAAACAATTTCAACTTGCCTATAGTCCATTGGATGTCCTTGATCCAAGAATGATCTATGTTCCAATAATGTGAATGCAGTTCCTAACCCAAGATCATTTTGATCTATCCTTTCAGGATTTCAAAATAGTGTCTTGTAACTGAAGCTGTTGCTGTTAGAAGTTTCACGTGAAGCATGAACTCTGTTCTTGCAAGTAGTACACCCTGTGTAGACTAGGACAAGTCTCAGACCCATTTCTTCAACATACATTGAGTGTTCTGTGTGTAATAATGATCAATGACTTTTTTTAGAAGTGGATTGGACCAGGCCTCTCCCCAGAAGATTGACTCTACACTTTTACATTTCTGGCATTTATACAGTTTGTAGAAATGGCACATCAGTACTGACAACTGAAAATATATTCCATTAAATATTTACTGACTCTTATTTTTAATGGATGCATGTGCAAAGAATGCAATGACCAATAAGCACCTGATCTGAAAATGCCCATAATCTAGAACATCCATACATTTCAGAAGTTAGTGACAGAGTACACATAGTATACAAGATCTCACAATGCAAAAACGAACAAAGTCATATGAACTGCTCTAAATACTGAAACCATTACCCAAAATGTGCCTAAACCCACATGTGGTCGAAATATATAGGGAGAATGACTTTTGTCAGCTAGATTTACATACGACTTTACATGGTCAGAGTGTGTAATTATGCAAAGCAGTATTTGAAACAGAAAGAAGTGGCTGAAACTATGTTTTTCTTACCCTTACATGGGTTTATTGTCCATACAAACTAGGGCTTGCTCTCATCTGTAATTAAATGAACCGAATCTTAGAAGAACTTGCTGAGTTACCTAGCATCCTTTTTTATAGTATACAGTTAGACATATCTGGAAATTCCTAAGCAGTCTGTTTTTCACCCAGTGGAACCTGGTGCCCCCATACAAACATACAAAAGTGTTCCACTTGCAGTACAGCCTTGGGAATTTTGCATGGGTCTGGGAAGTTCATTCCACTGAATTGTAAGTCATAATGCCCCAACCCCTCATGTAACTCTTTCAACATATTTTAGACAAATAAATGACTTGTAGCCAAATTCTTTAGGAAAGTTCCTACCAATAGCGGTTTATCATGTTGGAATGACATCTTGCTGCATATTTCAAAACATTACTGCTAGGGATGAGAAATGACACACTTTTGCTTTACGAACTTGTATTTTTGTAACGTTTATACTACCCCCCCCCCCCCAAACTCTCAGGAAAAACACAGTGGAAGAAAATGGTTTATACAAACTTGGGCTACTTCTCCACCTGTCCCACGAAAGCTGCTCTTACTGTCAGTAATGGCATAAGATATTAGGCAAGGGTGCTGATCGCTTAAGAATCTTCTGCATACCAAATCTGTACTCTATCACTGATGGTCTCTCCTGTAAGAAAGGGATTTTTGGACCCAGATCCTGCTCTTCCTTCCCAGAACCATGTTTTCTTCAGCCACGAAGAATAATCTACCTTTGTCTCCCTAGCTTTTTGAAGTTTCTGAACCAGGGACAGGTAACTTGTAGCCCTCCAGATGCTGATGAACAACAACTCTCAGCAGCTCTAGTATTAAGAATGCTGGGAACTGTAGCTCAGCAGTATCTGGAGAAGAGACACCGATTCCTTATCCCTATTCTAGCTTCTGGTGCCTTATGTACATTCCCCTAGACTTCTGGATGTCCTAATCTCATGATGAGTTAGAAACACAGGTCCCTTCATTGTCATGGCCATCAAGCCACTGCTTCTATTCCTTCCTGCTTCATCATAGATACCAGCAGGACAGCAGTGGAACCAACTCATTCTGCTTGATTATCTAATGATGGTTCCTGCAATCCATGCTCTCATAGGAAGGAGCAGCCATCCCCACAGCCAGTTTTCTATCTGGGTAATTATCATACCTTTCCTCAAAGAATTCTGGAAGCTGTGTTTTATGAGAATACAAAGAAATGTGCATTCAAGAACTCTAGGCCACTTCTCAGGAAAAAAAACATTGAATATTAAGAATAATACTCATTAGTTTAACTATATACTGAAGATTTCAAAGACTGTACTCTTAACCCAACTGGTAGACAGCAGATTGGAGAAGGCTGAGATAGAGTTTCAGCACATGAAACTGAAACACTAAAATTATATTTCAGTTTCATGCACTGAAAATGTATCTCAGCCTTTTCCAACACGGTGCCTTCTAAGTGTGTTGGGATTAGAGTCCTAGAATATCCCTCCACTTGGAGGACAGCAGATTGGCAAAGGCTGCTGTATTAAATGTTAAAAACCTAATATTATTATTGTTTCAGCAGGTGGCAGCACCAGCCAGCCTTGTCTGGACTCAGAGCTAAGCAGGATCAGGCTTGCTTAGTTCTTGGGTGGGCCAATGCCAGGAAATAACAGGGCTGTAGGCTAGATTGGGAAGTCAAAAAACACTTCAGAAGATAGTAATGGCAAACCACTTCTAAACTGCTGCCAAGAAAACTACAAGGAAGCATCTGTAACAGTATTTCATGCTGGCTGGGGAATTCTGGGAGTTGAAGTCCACACATCTTAAAGTTGCTGAGATTGAGAAACACTGATCTATAAAGTCACCAGGAGAACTTCTAAACTGCTGCCAAGAAAACTACAAGGAAGCATCTGTAACAGTATTTCATGCTGGCTGGGGAATTCTGGGAGTTGAAGTCCACACATCTTAAAGTTGCTGAGATTGAGAAACACTGATCTATAAAGTCACCAGGAGATTAGCTAAACCTGAAAGAGACTTTTTAATGGTGACACTAACATTTATCTCATCCTTTCCCAAACTATGCATAAATGTGCATGCTGTTCACGGCTTCTGTACCAAGTTGCATTAACAAATCTCTCCCTCTAGTTCTGCTGACATCTAATTTTGAGGCACAAATTAAGACCAGAGTAAGTGGTAAGGCACCTAGTCCTAAAGATGTGAATCTGGGTCTAAAATGCAAAATTTACCTAAGATTCCCCATGGAAACTGACATTTGAAACCTGTCACAACCCCAAAATGATATCCAATTAAGATCAATCAACAACATTAAAAGAAAATTAATTCTAGGCATTACAGTAAATAAAAATCATAGCACAAAACAGCTAGAAAACACTTTCTGTTTCTGTCTCTCTCTCCTTCCATATTTGCTAAATATTCTGTGAATGGCCTGGTGAAGTCAGCCCAGGACAGGTTTTAGCCCTCTGTTGATTGATTGATTGATTGATTGATTGATTGATTGATTATGTCCCATCAAATCATTTTCAACTCCTCTCTCTCTCTCTCTGTCTGTGTGTTTGTGTGTGTGTGTGTGTGTGTGTGTGCACGCACGCCTTCAAGTCAGTGTAGACTCCTGGCAACTGCCTGGACAAGTCCCTGCCATTTTCTTGGCAAGGTTTTTTGGAAGTAGTTTGCCACTGCCTCCTTCCTAGAGCTGAGAGACAGAGTGACTGGCCCAAGGTCGCCTAGCTGGCCCCCTAAGGTGGGACTAGAACTCATGGTCTCCTGGTTACTAGCCTGATGCCTTAACCACTACACCACACTGGCTCTCTTTTCAACTCCTAGAGACCAGATAAACAGATCTTCTCCATGATTATCTCTCCCTAACTTGTTCTTTCAACTCTCCCAACAGTGCACCCATCACTGCTGTAACTGAGTCCATCCACCCTGTTGCTGGTCATCCTCTTCTCTTTCCTTCCACC